CGAAGATGGAGATTTATGCGCCTGGCCAGAGGCAATCATGCTCCCAACTTTTTTTCCCCTGAAGTTTCGGCATTATCCCGCCAAACTTCCCTGACGACTGTTTTGTGCTCTGAGGGCGAAGGCTGTTGCGCCCTGCGGCTCTTTCTGCATCGCTAAATTGGGAAAGATTTTGGAGGGGAGATGTTAACATCGCCAAGGTTAAACATACGGTTTGTTAGAATTAAGTGTAGGCATAATAATAGTAATAATAACGGCAATTTATACCGCGCTGGTATCCGCCATAAATGACGCTCATGGCGCAATACAAAAATGTACGTAATATTGCAAAAGTTCTTGAAAAGGTCATGTCAGCATTACTTTGATAGACGGCAACAAGTAGCACATTGTAACTAATGGTGTCTCAAACACATCTTAGTGATCCAGATATCCCAGTTACTTCACACAATACCAACATCCTCGGTTGGTAAATGTGATTGAAAATAACAAAGCTAAATGTTAAAAGCTTCATGAACATGTTCTATGCGAATTGCGAATGTCAGCATTTGTTAGTCTCCAGATAAAAGCCAACAGAGATACAGTGTTTTGTGAGTTTTCAAGTTCTGGTTATCAACCTTTGTCAGTGACTGTTGGCCTCACTTCAAGAGAGTGACACTGACTGTTGTTCACATCTTCTTTCCCGGGTTTTTGTCCAGCACTGTGGTTTTACAGTACGAGAACGTACAAAAAAGAACCCACTGTTAGGTACAGTGCCTAACAGGCATATGCTCTGAGAAAAGTTAGTGCCAAGCTCCTTCGACCATTGTAACCTTTTAGGGCCTACTGCAGCAACTTTCCCTCATCTAACACTGCGATTGTATTGACTGTTGCCCAGCTCAGCATAGATTTCCTCCTCCCAGTTCCCTCCGTGATAGCATTTTGAAGCTTCCACAAAATGGCCGTCGATGATAAAAAGGGGAGTATGGTGACTGTTGGTGGGAAGGGACAGTCAAGACAGAGTGTGTCGGCAGAGTGAGTTGGTGTGGTGTCTGGTTTGTGATTTACTCCTGAGCAAGCCGGAGGTTAGCCTCAATAGGGGCAGGCGATGAAGGAGGCAGCCACCCACTGACTTGACCCCTTCGTTAGTGCACTCTGGAGGAAGGCAAATACGAGGACAACTTTCATCGATTTTCTGTCTGTGCTCCAGACCGTATGCGTGCGTATAGCGCCCTCATACGGACCAATATCATAATTTGGCAGGCAAAAAAAATGTGTAGGCAGGAATGACATTGTTATTTCTGTCTTTAAAAGCACGTAGGGATGTTTGCGATTATCCGGAAATGCACCTACCGATTTAGCGAGAAAAATCCTTGCTCAATAGGACTGGTATCAAATACCCTGTGAAATTATTCCGCCTAAAATAGTATCATTCGGAAGAAAGCAATCATTGAAGGCGGTCTTTGAAACCTTACCGTCGATATGTAATACATTGTATTTTGATTCCAGTGAATTTATGAACTAGCTATGAAGCTTAGGAGTAACTTCACGTAGTTGAAAATGAAAGTACATGTACACCATATTGGAAAAAAAATCAGAGAAACCATGAAAGACAAATATAATTCTTCTGTTCAAGGATTCAAGCCGGTAAGATAAAGCATATTATGTAAATGCCTGTCTTGCTTGAAAAAGTTTAGTTTGGCGAGAAATTATCTTGCTCTCGAAGCGTGACGGCGGGGCTGTAGGCTACTGTGTCCCATCGGCTGCATGGACATGCATGGGTGAACACCGGAGCCGCTTGTGTATGCATCCCAACAATGGGCAGTTAGTTGCGCTACGCCGACCACCATCAATACTCCCTTATATCGCAGCTTAGGGAAAAAAATGCAAGTTATTATTTATAAGCAGATGACCGGGAACATTTATCACTGCTCACCCCCTAATCAGCAGGCTAATGCATGATGTAAGAAGGCCAATGGGCGCTTAGTTTACTTGCTTGGTGTCTGAGACGGAAAAATAAGCAAGTGGTTGCCAGATACACCCCAGCACATTATTCATCCCCGTTCGGTGCTGTGGTGAGTCACAGACATTGATCTATCGAGATCTGGAGGGGGAAAAAAGAGGCGGGAACGGGCAAGGTGCCACTTTGTGTAGGTCGCCGCCATGTCATTATCAGATATAATTGGTATTTTAAAGGAAAACCAATTCCTATGAATGCGTTCAATTCGCGTTTGAAGTCAGAAACATCAGCTAAGTTCTCTCGTTAGCTATCATAGGCTTGTTTTGTCTACAACCTAACAAATTCAACCTGACCGTCACCGACACCTGTATAGTCTGTCTGGGTTCATTCTCAGAAAAATGAGGCGTTTTGCCCTTTGATTGTAGCTCATTATTCAGTTGAATTTGAATTCTCTTTCAAATTTTGGATGAACTCACAGGTCGCCAAAATTGAAGCATGTCCAGGATCAACACCAGCAGTACTGTCTTTACCAGTACAAACTTTCCCTCCGCTTACTCGTGGCAAAATTGGTCTTTTCCTTACAGGACAACGATTACAGGGCTAGCTTCAACATTTAATCTGTTATTTTAATTGTTTTTAAATGATGCTTTGAGTCTCACGTGCTCTCACTGTTGTTGGTGTGTACGTAGCCCTATACTAGAGAGAAAATCTACGGCAGATTTTGAAGCAAGACATGTCGGATGTTAAACCTTGAAAACAATTCAAACTTCGATTGTTGTTTTCTGTCATTTTTGAACTTGGTTTAAATCCTTGTGAAGCCTTCATGCAATAGTAGCCAAAACATAATTGTCACAACATCTTTGTGAGTCACACGTAAAAAAAATTGTTTCCTAAAAAGAAGGCGTACCGTTTAAACATGATGCACACACTATAATGAAAGAAAGCTCAAGTTGATACTATGGGAATATTAGCACATGGAAGCCGCAACCATGGCGTCCCCTATATATACTTGCAATAAGGTGGTTCCATAAGGGTAACCTGGTATTTAACATAAAACAAAATGCCTTATTACTTCAAAGATCTTGCTTGAATTTTATTTAAATATCTATCCTATCTATAATCTATAACCCAGAATATTCCCACACTGTTGGTATCATGTACCGGGCCTCGACCTTCATTTTGATTCCATCATCGGGTGAACTCGGCACAAATTAACGCGCGTGTTTCGCCTTTTTCACACGTCCAACTCGGCGACGTTAGCCCTAGTTCTCTACTTGCACCAAACACAGACGAGAAATAAAATATACACCTACTTCCAAACGGAAAAGAAAAAAAAGTAGGTTCATTTTCTATGAATCTCTTCTCACCCGCTCCCGCCCTCCGACATAAATCCTTCCACGCACAAGTACATCTTGTTGTACGGCCACACATTGCGGTGCATTATATTGCGCCTGCGATGTGACTTCATCCACGGCCTATTCTTCGCAGGATCCCAAATTACCCAGGTCATGAACTGTCGACACAGATGGCCTAATAACTTAATTTTGTCAATTGGTGAGGTAGAGCTATATTTCTTTTGACATCAAGTTCGCTCAGTACTATAGCCCCGCGATACCGTCTTTCCCCGGTCAATAGTGCGCGCCATAGCACGTTGTGTACACTTTTCCCGATTAAACGAGTACAACACAAAAGGCTGAATTCTCGCTTGGTGTAACATCCTTTTGACAGCGAATAGGTGTCTTTTGAAGTATCAGGTAAGCGTGCAAATCGACATTTACAATTGTGAATATCCCTATTTCAACGTAATTTATCTATTATGATGATCGGCATTTTGGTAATATATGGTGCTAACTTCAATCCCATACGTCTTTTTCTAAACTGGGGATCTTGGTTTCTATTTTTGCTTTCACGGGAAATGTGATTGCTGAAATCCCTTCTCCCTCTAATTCGCGGTAATTTACGGTGGCGGGGTTTAACATGAAGAGAAGAAACTTAGGTTTGTAAACGACTTTTCAACCAAAAAGTTGTCGCTCGGGACTTGACTTACTTGACTTATGCCGTCCGTGCAGGTAGGAGACCTCGTGATGGCTTCTGCATGGTGATGTTGTGGCAAACTTTCCTGTGCATAGCCAACCTTGCCGCATCAGTTATTCTTGGGATTGATCTTGATCTGCAGTCCTGTGAGATGCAGCCATCGTTTTGGTGGACGGCCTCTGGGTCTATCACCTTTGACATTGCCTTCTAGTGCCATTTTGGATATCTTGTGGGTTGCATTCTTTTAACATGGCCGAAGTACTTCAATATTTTTTTAATGTTGATCTTTCTGATGTGTCTAGGTCCAGGTTGAGTGATTCTCGGGAACATAATGGAAATAGGAAGGCCTCATGGAAAATACATATAAATTTGTTTACCATTGTGATTCCGCATACATTTCGTTTGAACGTAATCACTGCTCAATAAAAAGCACTTTAAGTATTTCAAATTTATCCCGAAGGAAAACAGATATATCAGTTAGATCAAGCCGATGAACATGCGGATGAACCTCCTGCATTATTTGAACTATGCGGATTGGGGTGGCTCTTTAATTTGTACCAAGAGGACACGAAGATTTTAAAACAATTAATGTCAACTGGATTTTTTATCAAACGTACGAAGTGTCGAATGCTGAATAAAATCGGTTTGGCTTGCGTTTAAAGTCCCTTGCCAGGGGAAAAGGCAAATACAAACAAGTTACATCACTGAAAGTTAACTTTTCCGAAGTCAAGATAAAAGCAGAGCTTTTCCGGCATCCCACTGGCAGCAGCCATGCAGTTATATTGTATGCAACGCACCACTTTCCTTAGATCAAAAGTAATTATTGGCAGAACCATGCACAGACTTTAAAATTTCAAATATGTCAAATTCGGGGGGCCGGGGAGTTGCGAAAGGGTGCATTTACATGAAAAAGCAATTTACACATCTAATGAGCTGCTGTTTTTGTACTCCGTGGGGAGAGCTGGGGCTCGACACAGGCCGGCGTGTTTCAGATTCACACTCGCCGATAAATATTTCATTTTAAACAGGAGAGACCGGAATGAAGTGGGCGCGACTCCAAGAGGACTGTCCTAAGCTTTCATGACCGCTTGGGTATAGGATTCGCAATATTAATATTCTGTGTAGAAATAATTTTTTTTCTGAGCCACGAAATTCGCTTGCAAACTGATGGTGACGGATCAGCGAATATAACGATGATACAACGCATAGTGTGAATACAAATTGGATTCTGGAAAGGCGATTTAATGCTAAACTGCACTATATAACCCCATGGGTTATATAGTTTATCATCTGTGGTGGTGGACGCGGAGGTTGGGATGGTGGTGATGGTGGTGGTGATGTATATGATCATGGCCATGATGGTGATATTGGTGAATGGTGATGATTATCATGATGATGCTGGTGATAATGTTGCCGTTAGAAAGGCACCAGTTATTTAGTCGAATTCAAATCACGATACGCACAAAAGTTACCTTAACTTTTTGAATACCGAAAGTCATCCTTTCATATCCAAATAGCCCCATGCGAGTGTTCATTCAATTTTTTTAAAAATTGAAATGGCCCACCACTAAGCCTAGGAATTATCAATATTCACTGCTAATGAAGAACAGGGCCTTTGAACCCGCGAGCGACTGAAAAGGGAGCGGTCGTCACGCGTGGATGACAATCAAACCTTTTGAAAAAATATACAAAAGAAGGCATTTTTTTTAAAAGCTCCGTTTCTTTGTCATCCATTTTTGGCTTTGACAGTGTTTTTTTCCCCTCTCGCGTTTGGCTTGGAGGATTCATATTTCAGGAACCTGGCTTTTGTGACTTTTTGAGGGCTGGTTCGGCTTTTGCCAGCGGTGATGTTGGCAGACATCTTTGTTCCCATCATGCCCTTTTGTCTCACCCCTGACTACTGACTGGTTACGCCAGGAACCCATACGATCATGCGCCCACCTTGCCTGTAGTGTAATCGCTACTACAGCAGCATTGAACCTAGCACAGGGCAGCTCAAACAGCTACAGTAGTAGCCTTTTGAAATGGTGCACACTGTCGAAGCTCCAGATCAGTTATTGTACTCCCTGTTTTTCTCACAATTTTCTCACTTTTCCGAGACAGGACTCACTTTGGTGGAGTCTGGAGTAGCGATTGAACTTTCTCAGTGGATCTAGACTGTAACACGGCAACCTTCCACACCGCTGAAGCACTAGTATGGAGTCGGTCTCCCGACAAGTGGTCCCCTAAGACAACTTCGCTCTGGAACACCCCCGGGCCATAACCAACTTCGGCCTTGCGACCACAGACCCCGGGATCAGACGGCACGGAATCCTCGCTTTCTTGCTCCAACCGAAGGTGAGAATTTATGCTGCTCCTGACACGCCTCGCGTGACGCGTCCAGGCGTGTTTGCACCTCGCCTGGCCATCCTTTAATTAAAAGGCTACGGTGCTGGCGTCCATGGACCACACCGACCAAGGCGGGGGTGACATATTAGGCTTGGCTTACGTGATCTGGGCCGCATATTTTTGGCACACTGATAAGTTTAAGATTGGCTTGATAAACTTGGTCATGCGGCGATGGCATTACCTTTTGTAAGTTTAACAAAATTCTGAGTAATCTTAATACAAATACAGCAAAGGCCTACCCCGAGTCATCAGTTACTCGTACTTGCTATTTGTTAGAGTATTGAAGTCTGCTCTGAAAGTGAAATCACGCTAAACCTCAACTTCTAGATGAAAACACATCACACATTATTCTTAATTATGTATTTATTTATTTTGTAAAGGTGTAGGGAGTAGTAGAACAATTACAAACACTCGGTAAGAATTTCACCTGTTTTGATCAAAAGTACGATTAATCGTGCTGATCTGGAAGTTGCGATAGTCAAAATAATGGATGCCTTCCTCTGAGTGTTTTGTGGTATTGTTTTCCCTTTATTTTTTGTTTTGTTTTGTTTTCATCACGAAATAACACGAAAATTGACAAAGCATGTTTCCAATATATATAATATAATTTGCACATAATTACTGTGTAAGAAATGAGACGCACGTAATTACTGAAATTGGCGACCGGACCCAAGCCACGAAGGCTTAATGAATTTCCACGGAGCTCGGGCACGGTAGGTCGGAGCGTGCGTTAGCAGCCCCCAATTTTCCTCCCCCAACTCGTGTGGAGAATTCAGCCATATAGTAATGAATGACATTATGGATATTCCACAGTCCATAAAGCGCCCAAATGCCGGCCGTCCATCACGATTGCGAGATCTTAAAAGGCAGTAGCGGCGGCCGGCCGGGCCTAATACAACTTGACACACTTCCTGTGTTTAAGGGCCATTATACGCCAAAGTGCCAGTCGTTACGGCTAATAAAGTGCGCTAACATACTCCTCTTTGTAATCAACGGAAAATTATTTAATATAGCACACTCAGAATGAATGGCTTGGAGGCGATACTGGAACTAGGCTCCCCGTCTTGCCATTTATTTCGTTCGGCGGGAGCTTATAAAGTGAAATGAAATCAGCTTGATGGAAAGGCTAGCGGGCGGTTTTTAAGGGGCAAGGGGAAAAGTATCATATTTTAAAGGTCGAGGGCTTTTAGTGTCAGCGTTTTGGTTCCGACCAATTCATTGTGACTCTTTGAAGTGTCCCCCGTGAGGTTAAGTTTTGAGGTATATTTTGATATAGCACGGGAAATGATGCCCGCCCAAAACGCAGAATAACCAAGCTGCATCAGGGAGTGCCCCTAGAAAAGGTTTGCTTTCCTTGCTGCCACCAGTGGTTTTGTTTGTCTTCACGGCTGCATGGGAACAAGTATTTAACTTGGTAAGGTGGGAGAACTGCAGGTAGTATATGGTTGCATCAGAAATGTCAGGCCCATAATCGATACATTGTTTGATAATTTCACTTTCCGATTTTAAAATCCATTTCAGTTTTTGATACAGTTGATTATCTCACCTACCGAGTAAAAAAGAGCGAATTTACCTCAGCGAAAATCCAAACTTGTTACTCCTTCTTATGTTGCTAAACGAGGCAAGCACAAGTCCGTACCGCAAGTAGAAAATTACGAAAGTGGATCATACTCTTATATTTTTTTACCAGCAGACATTTTCCCCAGTTGTGTGGGTTTTACAACTTGTTGTTTGTGCAACTGTTCACCAATTTCGAGAAAAGTTTGCAGCATATTTTAATAATCCCATGACCCGTACTTGAGTGTGATTTCTCGTGGGATGATCAGAAGGGGGCGCCCATTGGGGCTCATTTGCCTAAACGTGTAATAAGTCATGTTGTCTCTCTGACATGGATTGAAGGCAATTTTAGGTAAAACACCTCAACATTTCACACTACTACTCCTTTTCCGTTGCACTAGGCCTACATCTCTTGTACAATAATTCTAAAGTTGAAGAAAGAAATTGACTGAAGCGGGGTTTGAATCTGCGACCCCCGGATTGCCATTCCGTTGCTGTACCAACTCAGCTATCCAGCACTATGTTGGCGGTTCCCCGTTTTGTTGTCAACCAATCAAATCAAATCAAATCAAATCAATTTGTGATATGTGTAAATGCCTTTTTTTATTAGAACACCCCTGTCCATTTTTTTAAACAGAAATGTTCAATAGTTATAAGTAGAAATATGCATTGAAGAGCATCCTCATTTCGTCATTACGTGCATAGATTCAATGTTATATTTGATTACGTAGAGCTACATTTTGAGGTCGTCATTAAAACCTCGCACACGAAACTTGTAGGCTGGAATGTTGAATCATGATGATATTTAATTCTCTCTCCCGATTCCCCATTATCAAGCCACCATTTTGCGTTAATAACGGGCCTCAGTGCATGGAACCTGGGCACATGCGTTATAGCAATATCTAATGGTGCGGTGTCAACCGCGTCAGACCGTACCGTGCCGCCTCTGGAAGGCCGTATCGTACGGCGGGCCCAACGGGTGAAAACCCCACCTACCTGCTGCCCGTCTGTCTCGTGACTCGAGCAGGCCAATTACTCAGAGGCGTAACAGTAACACTGTCGCTTCTGGCGCCTTGTCGAGTTGTATAAGCTCCGGGGTAAGTCATTTGATAAGCAAAGCATTGGCTTTTCATTGTAGCCTTAAGAAGGAAATATTCACATTGGAGCATTTTTCTTCTTAATCGTTGTCCTTGATTCGGGAATTAAGGTTGTACTTGCATGTTCGAACAAATGGAGGGTTTAATTTGTTGATGAACATTGTTGTTTCCAAGCCAACTGGGAATAACGTGATCGTTAAAGATGATAACAACAACAATAAAGGCTGAGGTTTGTTCTTTCTACAGAAACCTAAAAAAAAGTTTTTAGATGCTTCCTGCAGTCATCCTTAACAATATTTCCTGAAAAATTGTGTGTATTTTTATTCAAATGATTAATAAATCAAATATGCGTTTGCCGTAATATCTTAAACCGTTCGCCTACATAAATCGCGCCGGCCTTGACATAGATATAATGAACTTACACACGTATTTTTGATTGATATCTTTGTTAGCGATTTCGCAATCAAGCTGACCGTTCTCGCTAATGAAGGAATCGATAAATTAATGTGGAAACAACGTTATTTTTTAATGTAAATGACATGGATTGTGGGGTCGATGCATCTTATAACGCATGTAATCAAATCAAAACAAACATCCTCTTTTTCTTCCAAAAGTGCATGAGAGTTGAGAGGGATCGCACGCGAGGGACAGTGTTCACAGCGAATAGAACAACATATCGCAGACCGGTGATTTTTCACAAGTCACTGGGTCCTGATTGTCCCGAACCGATAGGAGTGTACTTGATGGTCATCATGACGCTGATTGCAGAATATCCCTGTCATGATTACCATGTCATTAGGCACACATGGTCTATACGGGTCAGATCGGCAATAATGTGGAAAAGAGACGCAATAATGACTATGAATATGCCTATTATTTCAAAGAACGATGTTAATATCGAGGGAAATGTTGAGGCTTGTGAATGGGTTTACTAAAAATGAAATTCCAGCTATTACAGTAAAGTTGCATTGTTTATGGACCTTCCGTTTATGGAAACATTTTTTCTCTCTAATAAACTTATCTAGCCTTGGGGTGAAGGAATTCGTGTTTATCACTTTTTCACGCCCGAAACGTCAGGTTACCAAACCGGTTCTTTTCAAAACCACACAAAGTCGCAACAGAAATATATCTACATGGTGCTACCACAAACCTAAATTGACTTTCGACCATACAATCTATCAAGTCTTAACTATTATTGATGTTATAAAAATTTGTTTAGTTTTGTTATTTAAGAAAGGTAATCACATATCTTTAAATTGTAAGTAAATGTTTGAAAAATGGAATTATTGTTGTATCCGAAGATTAAAATTTTGTTAGTCAATATTATTTGCACGAAGGGTTAAAGTTGCGTTTATATTTACGCACCTAATTATAATTACAACGTGGAGGGAAAACCGCAAATATAACTGCATTTAATGAAATAAATTGACAGAAATGGTGCAATTTTAGAATAAGCGCCTACTGGCCAATCATGCAGAAGTAAGGTTTCTTATTCTCTTTGCTTGTCATGTAGCAAGGCTCAGTATAATGCCGTGCGATCGTGGTCATGACACACGTGTTCCTCCACCCAACAAGACAGTCATGATAATGGTTAAATCGATACCCAAAAGAAAGAGACGGATTTACGTGGAAGACTGCACACGAAATTCATGCAATAAAATTAATGTACTCATTAGCATTGATGAACATAAATAAATAAGCGTGTCGAAACACAACACTTCATGACAGTATATGCGATGTAAGCAACGTTGTTTCATTGCGCGTGTTGCGGAAACCAGTAATCGGTTTAAGCCAACCTGTGTCGCTGGCCTACCAAAATACAGTCCCCGTATAAAAAGCACCGCTGGCCCGTAACAAATGGCTCCATCGAAGGTACCAAGTCGGTGGAACGGAACCGACGCTTTTGTCCCCGGGCCGAAAGATGCACCCTCTCCCTCCGGCGGTCGCGTTGAGAACGACTTTTTTTTTTTTTTTTTTAGCCAATCCACGGACTGTTGCGTCTGAGACATAGATGCTGTCGTTGGGTTCTCTTTTCCCCCACCTCCTCTTATCTCTCTGGGCCTTTTCAGATATTGTTCTTGGCTGGGGGAATTTCAAGGCTGCCGTGGTGTTTTGTTCATTTGAATAAATGATCAAAAAATCTGTGAGGCATACGGGCCCAGGCAGCGCAGCGCATGGCCAGGCGGCCGGCCGGTCGCGGCAGACGTCCGCGTCGGTCATGCTCCAGCGACTTGGTATTATAGTGTGTTCAGAATAATTACACCATTACTAACAATATCGTGTTCTGTAATGAGCACGTGTGTAGAGAAAACAAATGTTCATCTTTAAATGCTTGTTTCCAACTGTTTCGTTCTCTTCAAGTGGTTTGTTTTGCGTATAATATAAGGTATTGCGACTGTGATACTATGCTTTGTTTGGGCATTTTGTTCATTTTGTTAGCTGTTACATCGATGTAGTGTTTCATTGGGTTATGCAGCACGATCAGTATGTAATTCGGAAAGTGTAATACAGTGCGCCCAGATCACGCTAACTTTGGTGTATCTCCCTTTTGTTTACTATTCAAACCTTCCAACTTAATCACATGTCAATTATCATAATTCAGTTCCCTTTGGAAATCTAAGGTTCGTCCAATTCGTCACGCGCGAAGCGGAGCATTTTGATTGGTCCATTATGTAGCGTAGTCATGGAGGCGAATTGAGTAGAATATAGGGCTGTTTTAATACTGTTTATGTGACACAGGGCTACTCTTCTCTCATGTATAGGTGACTGCACGCTTCATAGTTCATGGCCTGTTATTTATGAGCACAATTTTTAATATGACAACTCTATTCACTGCGCTTTGTGACCCTGGACAATAGGCCTATCTCATTGATCAGCTTTTAGGTGAAGGGGAAAACCGATAGTTCTGAGCGATTGGCTAGTTTGAATCACGTGGTATTTCTCTTTTTTCCCTATTTGGTAGCCAGTATTGACCTGAGAGAAGGCAGGCCGTGCCAAACTCTATTCATCATTCGGAGTTGCAGCACTGCTGACTCGGCGGGACAGCTAGACAGCCGCTTATACTACACAGCTAGGGCAATAAAATCCTAAGGGTCACAAATCAACGGTCCTAAGCCCAGATACAAGACAAATGAGCTCATACTTCACACACTCGTTGTCGACGGCCGATTTCCACCATGGGTCGGATTACCCATCGGCTGCGGCGGTGCAGGGCTACTCCCGACAGGCCCCCCACTACCCGGCCAACAGCACGCCCGTTAACTACAGTTACAACAGCTACGGGGCGTCGCAATTGGAGGGTAGTTTCTACCACATGGACCGGACCCCGTCCATGGAGCCCACTGTCCCGTTGACGCACCCGCAAAGTTCGCCCGTGTCCGGCGTGACTGCCACCACCACCTCGGCAGCGTACAACCGGTGCCAGAGCCAGCACCAGACGGGGTCTAGCGGGGCGGCGGCGGCCGCTGCTGCCGCTGCTTGCATTAAGATGACCGGTCAGAATATGAGTGGGGACTGTGCCAAGTCAGCGATGAAAGGAGCTCAGACAGCCCGCCAACCCGAGCAGATATACCCATGGATGAGGAGAATTCATTCCAACACGGCAGGTGAGTCAAAACAAAGTAACCCTTTTAATAATTGCTCCAAAACTGGCCACATGAGATCAATCAATATTTTTATGTGGGTCCGACATCAATTTGTTAATAACTCGCCATTTAATTTTTAAAGGTAATGTACACCATTTACCATGTTTGCAAAATGTATTTCATGTCGACTCAAGGAACAACAATATAATTAATAAATATAAAGCTGGTTATTTAAACAAATAACTAACCTGTTGAAATTTCAGCTCAGTAGATATATTTTTTTTGTAAAAAACCGTAAAAATCATCGTTATTTTTTTCTTAACGAAAAGCAATTGTGCAACAAAAGACCGCCCTTCCAAAATATTCACAAATAGTAATACGTTTTGACTTGCACCCTTTTGTGGTATGACTCGGGAAAATAATTCTCATTCATTATGTAACCTATTGAAACTAAACTAAATTTGGTCTTTTTTCGCGATGGTTTGGTCCAAAACATCGCGAAAAAATTATGGTAAATCCTCTTTTCTTGAAAATGACAGCATACTAGGCGCAACGAATTCAGAGAATGCTTGATCCTATAATTAACAAACAATCAAGTAGAATATTCATAATATTTTTCACAATTTGTTTTTGAATTTGTTCAAAGGTTGTCCATTACCTTAACGTTATTAAAAGTTATCTGAATCAAAGTTGAAAAGTTGGTGTAACTTAATTCCGTATGTTCTCAGCACTAACCCCCCCCCCCCAAAAAAAAAACCCACTCATTTTGCTCGTTTTAACGGACTTTTCTTTTCAACAGAAAGTATGAATTGCAGGGCCTCCGTGAAATATACATTTTTAGATTTGTATTTAATATTTCATCAGACCGTCAGCTGACAGCTGCTGAAATACACTGTACACGCGACATGGCGGGGCCACATTGAAATGCTTTATGCATCAGAACTGTTCAGCTCATTCTCGCCCATCCATCCTCATTTCAAATTACAACTGAATCCCTGTAAAACATTCATTATTATTCATTCCACCCCTCTTCCCTGCAATAGCCCGAGCAAGACTGCTCTGAATTTTGTAGAACAACATTGACCTCCAAGAATTAACTGTCGAAATGATGAAACTCTACGCCATGTTATTTGAACCTCCCCCCCCCAAAAAAAGTGTGCCATCAAGTGTAAAATTACGCAGACTGAATGATTTGATCCGATGTATTTCACTTCAAATTATAGTGTCTGTTTTCAGTGAATTACGGATTTGATGCAAAATGGCTCTGCACTATGACTGACATTTTGATAGCCTGTCATGTATAATTAAACATCAAATTCAGGGTTTTCTGTTCACCCAGTTTGGTTCGCAATTTGTACTTTGAAGCAGCATTGACAACACATGGCATAGCTGTGATTTTGTTTTTATCAATTTCAAATTGGTACTTTTCTGAAACAACTGGCTGACTTTAAAATGCCAAATATACATTTGCAGCAGATCATTACTTCAACCCAGGTGTCAATGTAAACATTTCTTGAGGGGCTTCTTTTCATTCGGAGCATCGCGCATTGTCGCGAAAAAAACAAAACATGCCAATTGAATCATCAATACTAATATTACAAAATAAATACCGATACTTACAAACAAATGGGAACAACTGAAGCTGCACGTTCATGACTTCTGCCGTAAGATTTAAAATGTATGAACAGTTGCGGAATGCATCGTGAATGCAACATCAGTGGCCCTTAAGTTGGGCAACGGGCAGTAAGTTAATTTAGTTTGGAAAGGTTGTGGGATAACTCCTGTTACATGTATACGGCCCTCGGCCTTTTACGTCAACATGTCTTTCAGCTGGTTTCAAATTTACATCAAAGCTGTAGACACACTGAAACCGCCGTACCTTTTTTGCACACGAGAAACCTTCCATGGGTTTTGCTCAACGTAAAAAAATATCTAAACTAAAATGTTCCATATTTCTATTGAATATCATAACAATGGTTAATGGAAATCAGCAGCGATGTTTACAAAAGATCGCGGTTCATCCCCGAGGGCCTTGTGTATTTTTTCACAGAATGGATCACGCGAAGCGTATCGGAATCCATTGATGAAAAGCATACATACGGTTGTGCGAGAACTACGCGGTAGAAATGGCTGCGCGCGATCCAGGCAACCTTTTCTAAAGACAACCAGTATCAACGGATTGATATGCAAGTCTACCAGTGTGAATTACTGGCTAATTACCTCCGGATTTCCAACCAAATGTCTACCTCCATCATTTTAATTCCAGGGATAACCTGGGCCAATCTGAGCGCACAATACTGACTAACGATCAACTGAGGAGGTCAACTGTGACCGTATACACTTTGATGCGACTACGGCGCGTCACAGCGTGCCAAATCGTACATGCATGTACGAGTGTTCATTGCATAATGTATACACACATTGAGTATATACACAGCCTACTGCATTCACTATTTACATGTTAAGAGAAATGCCAGTTGGTATTGGTGTTTGAATCCACATTTCACAACAATATCGTGAAATAAATCAACAAAAACAGACCAAAAACCCCGCAAAATCATACTTTAAAGATGCACTTTGCACCCCATGTCGTTTTGATGAATACATGCAGTTGTGTCAAAATATTTATCAAATGAAGTTACTATTTGACAGCCAAAAAGCCTGAAATTGAGAAAAAAAAAACATTTTAAAAGGAAAATATAACCAGAAAAACTTTAACGATCAGGATCTAATCTCTGTTAAACTAAATCACATACATTTGAATAACAGTTTTCAGATTGAGATTATCAACATGGATAATATAGCAGATATCATGCCAAAACAGAATGTTATTCATTATTGTCATTGATAACGAAAACAACATAAACCAGCAGGGCTCGTATAATTTGTATGGACATCGTTATCATCATCAACAACAATAGAAGCAATCAAGATGTAGCAGTAGGCCTCATATTGGCAAAAGCTATTCCTTTGACAAAAAGACAATACTTTTTTGTCCCATTCATCCTTTTGTAACTACAAGGAAGTTTTGGCCGAGCACAGACCCTCCAAAAATGAAGACACAGACACATTTTGATTCAAAATAACTTGAAATTAATTGTGACTCTATTTACAATGGATTCATCCAAGCACATTCGTTGACATCACAGGTGCAGTGCTACCTTTGACCCCGCATCGCTACAAATGGCTGCACATTTGCATCTACATAATAAGGCAAATTGCTTGAGGCCAGATGTGCCCCCTGATGAGTCCTCCTGTTTGACATTGAACTCCATAAGTAATTTTTATCAAAACAGTAAATTAAATTTTATCAAAACTGTCAAGCAAATCCAAACTAGCCTCCCCGCATGCATATTCTTGCAACACATAATCGCAAAGGTTGGTTTTGAATCAACAACCAAAGTTGATAAGTCAGAAAGAAATCATAATATTATTATAGATCTATTCAGATTCCAAGTTTGATCTTTTTAAAAACAATCACGGGTGTTTAGATCCGTATTATATCGAATTCTTGATAGATTATTCCCTTTTGTCCCGGAATCGTTTAGTATCACAAGTATTATATCGGACAATTTATTTGTTGCATTGAAAACAGTGTGAAACATTGGATTTATTATGAATCACCTAATATTTAGTCTACCAAATTGGACCAGTCGGACGAGAACAACTTTCGTGGTTTACATTAAACAATTGTGTTTACAGTTGCAGAGATTGCTCAAAGTTATTGTCTTGAGATTGAAATTCCCTTTGCAGTTTTGCACCGAGAAATAAAATGCCACCCGTTCTGACATGAATGCCAACCCTCCAGTCGAATCAGGGTTATAAATGACTTACAATCGTCTGCTTAATTACTGAGTTCGTTAAAAAGTAAACGGTCGTGTGGCACGGATAATCTGTCGTAAGACGAGATAACGCATACAGTCTGCACGGTGCTGGTGCATATGTGACAAATCAAGCGGGCCGTGAGGCGAAGGTCAGCGGGTCGCGCACGGGGTAAGGAGGAACACAGGCCTGGTGAGACTTTTGGGGGCCACGGAATCAGGCTTGCGGAAACAGCAGAACACTTTTATGACCTCTCCGTGCGACGCTGATCCAATTTTCGGGAACTTTCTCTTACCGGGTCGTGTATATCAGCCTCCAGGGGAAAGATAACCCGCACCGACTAACACTCTGCATATGTGCCTTGCATTACGATAATCTTGCGTTTGAAAATGACGTGTGGTCACATGGTAAGCATACGGAAACAGAAACCATGATTTGCTCTGATTTGTCCAAGTGATACAGCCATTCATGCATGCAGTGGATTGGTTCGTAATCTGGCTTTTAATTGCACGAACAGCTGGTGCGGGTATTCAGGTGCTTTTGTTTCCATGAAACGTTTGTATTTAATTATTGTTTCGCATTTTAACGTTGGTAATGGAGAGATTTTGTTTTTGATTTACGATATGTTTGCTTGACGAAATTTTGATGACTGTATAGTATAGCGAGTGTAAAATTAGGGCCGTATGTTTTTCTTTCAAACACACAACGATTTTCCCGAATTCAGTATACAAGATCTAAAATGCATGCCCAATTGAGCATTTGTGATTGTTTTGTTCAACTTTGCAGAATATCAACATCCCATCACCTTCCCAAAAAGACCAAGTTTCAGTGGAAATATTTAAACCTTTTGAAAGTTGGTGTTTTGTTTTGTTTTGTTTTTGTACAAAAGAGAAAGGATATAGTGAAACAACGTCATTTACATCCGCCCAAATACAACGAGGTTGCTCACTTTAAATTTCGAAACTTAGTTCATGACGTGCGTCATTTTTTTTGATGAAATGTGAATGAGTTATTATTCAGTTTGGTTATTCGGATACTAAAAGGCCGGGTACATTAGATCATTGGTTTTGTTGTGCATTTTTGTTGTGCACATTGCTAATCAACTATAATCTGTTGAATTTTGCAGTTCAATGCATACTGTACATACCCTATTGAGGAAACAGAGGAAACATGCATATTTTATTTTTTTTGTTGGGGTG